CACTTGTTACACTGAGGGCATATTTGTTACCAGTCTGTCCTACTGTCTGCTCTGCAGGGCACTGCAAAACCTTTGGGAAATATTGGCATCTATGACCTTCCCCTGAGGTTCAACTAGGAACCCCTGTAAGATGTATGCGAACAGACAAGCTGATTTTGTGACATACTGGGATATGATAATATTTTCATCAAAAAGAAGAAGCCATTGAACACACAGTTATCAGTAACAGTAGTTAGTCTCTCATAGGTTGCCACAATGTGGGAAGATCTACCGTTTTCACAAATTAAATAATTCATCCTACTGAAAACCACAGAACCAGGGATGGGAAAACTTCCAGGAACAACCATCTCTCAGAAACCACGAAACAAAAACCACCTTTAATATACAGGTGTAACAGATCTAGGTTTTTGCTTTTACTTTTCATTCTCTTCTCCATAGTTGATGCACCAAACACCTTACTATTGCCCCTAATGAGACCATTGAGAAAACAAATTTTATTGACTCATGTCTTGTAGTTAAACCTAGATGGCACGATAAAACTTTTCAATTTCTGATACGATACCAATATTGACCTGATACAATACTAGCATGAATCATACATGCTTTTATTGTTCATTTTATGAATGTTAAAAAAAAGGCTTAATCAAGTGATACTACCTAAACATGGCACATATATGAGATATTAATGCTGAACCCTGACTCCCCTAAAAGTAGGCTAAAAATCGGCCTGGGCAATAAAATAATAAACTAAAAAACATAGTCCATAATTATTAACAAAGGGTTATTTTTAGATTGAAAAAAATAAATAAATAAAAAGTTGAATGCACAAAGTCAGTTTTTTTTTTACAAATTAACTTATTCTATAAACTCTTCCTTTCCTGCCAGTTGTTGGGTACAGACAGCTTTTTTTATTTGCAGTGCTATCCAATGGTTAGCAAATTTACTGGAGTGCCACTACTGCACCCCACACAGAGGTATAGAAGCCAAATCCCTGACTGAAATGTGGTAGCATGCTACTCAATTTTGTGCCCACGTTTACATCTAAGTGTCCATAAGAATCATTTATTTAAATGCTTTTCTACACATTTTTACCAGGGGTACGAATAGTAATCATGGGTGGGGAAAGATACTTGCTGCACTGAATGGACCAAAAAGGTGTATCGTTTTAATGCTTAAAATATATAACACTGTCCACGGAAAGTTGGATGTATTTTGCAATATATATCCAACAATTTTTTTTTATTGTGCAAACTTTCAAGTTTAATATTGTAATATATGCATTAAGTGAGTCTGAGATTAGTTGAGTCAATATTTGAATTTTGCTAGCAATCCAAACTTAAGCAAACGCTCTCATAAGTCACACACTGCAAATACGACCGTTGGAGTGGGGATCAGAGCCACTCAGTCAAAATACTGGTATCTACAGTGGTTCATTAAGGTGTGTCAATTCTGTATAACATGAACTATGTGTCACTTTTCAAACAATTCACAGTATCACAATTTAATGTTTAGTATTTCCATACATTTTTATGGGCCAAATTTTTATGATATTCAAAAATAAAGCTTGACAGTTACAGAAGAAATGTATTTTTCCTAGAAAAGCAAAATAAAAATAAAAAGATGGAGGACAGTATTTAGAAAAAAAAAATGATTGCAGGGGGGAGAAAAGCAGTGGAGAAGCGGACATGAAAGGAGTGTAGAGAGGGAATGTGGAAGTGCTGGCGAAGGAAAGGGAGGGAGGTATAATGAAGTCCTTTGGGCCTCTAGTGAAAGAAGCCACAGCATCTGCCAGCCAACACAGCCCGGCTCTCTACAGATGGTGGCATGCTTGGATATGCTCAGCTCATTTTCAGATCATAAAGTAAATGTTCTAAACATTCTTACATGTTTTTTTTTACTAAAAAATATTTAAAAAGTGACTTTTGCTTCACGCCGAAGATATGATTCAGAGTAGCCTAAGGTACAGTAATAGTGATTCTTTCTTTTCTCTTAATCTGTGACATTTTGTAGTGAATAAACGCAGCATAAAAATGAATGAGAACGTTGGGGGAAAAAATGCACGACTCAAATACAAGTTTTCCACTTTATGTTCTCTCTTGCTGAGGAATTTACCATACAGAATGCCGTTTATGCTACTTTACATGGTAAATGGCCTGTACTTATATAGTGCTTTTTAAGTCAGGGGTCTTGACCAAAGCGCTGTACACTTATATATGTAATTATATTTAAGATATCCATGTATCTGATAAGTTACTTAATGAAGTAACCTGCAAATACTGTCTGTATTTGCAGGTTGTTTTTTGGCAGCTCGGTTTTGTTATTTTGTTTCTACTTTCTTCATTCTGTTTCTAGTCCACTGCCACTCTTTTTATGATGATTTGTGCCCTGACCACAATAAGAATAGCTAACGTGGATTGCTATCAAACAGTGGATAAAATTAATCTGGCTCTTGTTATCAGACAGGCACCTCTTCTTCATTCTCTTTTCAGGACTGATTCACCCAGAATATTTCAATCTATGAGTGAAGAATAAACTACAATGTCATGATGGTAAAAAGATAGTTATGCCCTTTTTATCTTGTCATTAAAGAGCAGATAATAATGACTTTGGTTATAATGCTTTAGCTAAGCTGACAAGTCAGTAAGTACCTTTTGATCATGCCAAAATACCTACTGCTGACAATATTCTCCGGATAAAAAAGAAATAAACTTCTTGTTCCTGACTGAAACCTGGTACTGCTGCATCCAAATGAGGGCTGTCCTACTTGTTATATCTAATAGAGTTGCTTTTTTTTTACTAGACACAGACGGATACATTAGCTGGCTAATATTTTCGGCCCATATTAGCATTTTTATTAGCATCAAGTGCATTAATTAGCTGATTAATTCTGTCCATTCAGAAAGCATGCCTTGATCATATAAGGAACATTGCTACTGCTTCCATTTGTGATCCACTCTTAATATTTGTTTGATTTGTTAATCTTTTTTTTTATTGTCTTGTGTAACATGTGCTACAAATGTGTAATTCTACCATACAAATGGAGAAAGAGAAGCAATTAGCCTCAAGGATGAGTCCAAAAATAGGTAGCATATATCAGGGATTGGTAAGAGTTATATGAAAATAATCAGTAATTACCCATTGAAAACCCTTTAATTTCAAATTGTCAACTAATTGATTAATCATTAAATGCAGTATACACATTTTAACAAATGCTGTTAACTGAAAGAGCGACCCACTCAGAGCATTAATATGACCAAACTATATAAAATATATAAACATCTTGCATTTAGGATTAAAAAAAACTTTTTTGTTAATGAATAATCTCAGAACGCCTTTAGTGGCATATCTTCACCTGGTTTAAATTCTTTATAAAATATGATTTAAGGAGCTTTTTTTTTTTTTTTTTTTTCTCTTAATAGAAATTATAATCAACAGATTAATGGATGAACAAAATAATAATTAGCTGTGCAAAGGGGAGGCAGCAGTAAAGTGTGCTTGTTCAAAATTTTAGGCCTGGTCCACATGAAGATTAACAAAGCAGATTTTCATATATGGCTCAGAAAAAATGTGCATCCACACACGTGTATGTAGCACCAGTGAAGAAGCTGTATATACGCCAGGCCCTTTGGTGCCGCTGTGAGACTGCCACAGAATCACATTCAAATCACTTATAAATAAAAATAGCCTTGCAAAGACATCATATGCAAAGTAAACACAGGACCATGATGGTAAAGAGTCACATGGGAGCTATGGAGGTAGTTTGAGATACAAAATCAACCTTTAAAAAAGATGTGTCTCCTCCATACGCATTGAACCTCGAACCCGATTGGCGTAACCTGTTTATCCAGTCTAGGACCTGGTTTTAAAAACTATTATTATACATTTTCCCAAAACAGCTTTCATCTATTTGGACGCATACTGTAGCTTAAATGACAAATGGTTACACCTAATCTCGTCCTTGTGTGGATGGGGCCGCAGGCATCTGTTTTCTCATAAATCCCCAATGAAGCTTTAATCTTGCTTTTCTTATTTCACTTTAACTATTGATATTTTCTTCATTTTAATCAAACTCAAAAAACTTTCTTCTGGTTTATTAAAATATTTTGTGAGACGACTGTAAAAGGCTACTGTTGAGGGTTACCCAGCTGGTTATCTTAGCAAGATTGCATTTTAGTGTTTTTACAAGGTTATCAGTTGGGACTAATCCTGCTTATATTTGACCGACACTTCCCATGAGTCAAGTTCTTGGTATAGCTGTAGATTTTATGTTAAATGCAAAAACATTTTAGTTCCTCACATTTCCAGCCAAAAAAAAAAAAAACAACATAAATATGACAAAAAAATGTCCGCCAATGTTTAGAAGTCTTATAAAACAAGTCCAGACAAGAACAAGCTCAAACAATAGGCCATCCTGTTCTTATACGGTAATTAGTCCTGAGGATATTTTTTTAGTTTTGTTTTTCCACTGCTGTCCTGTTGGATAACCACAAAAAAAAAAACTGATATGGGGGGCAGTAATTAGAGAGCGGGTAAGAATGGGAAATAGCCATTTCCCTTACCTTCTGGTTGCATGGTGCTTAAGCCCTCATAATGCTGACATCAGCACTCAGCTCTGACAGCAACTAACACACACACCTCACTAACTGGGTAAATGCTTCACAACAGATGCATCAGAATAAAGAGGACCGCCAACATGACTGCAGTAATCTTCAACATTATGTTTCATTTAAAAGAAACTCAGGAGAAAGTGACAGGATGTATGATACACACAAACACATGCTTTACATTAAACCTAGTTTGAGCTTTCACTCAAGTGCAATATATATATATATATATATATATATATATATATATATATATATATATATATATATATATATATATATATATACTTTCACCCTCCACATGAAGGCCACACCTTAGCGAAGCACCCAGCCAGCATGCCACACCACATCACCAGTACCTTGGTATGCTGTCAGATCAGAGCATTGAAAGGATATGGCCATTCGGTGATCTTTTTGGCGTACTTCCTCACCACGTTGTCTTCACTGAAGAGGAAGAGGGAGCGGTTGACCGTTAGGCAGCTCTGCCGGACGGGTATGGGGTTGTACAGGGCCATGGTCCGGGCTCTCTGGGCCATCGACTGCTTGTACATCCGCTGCGCTCCGGGGGGCCCACCTTGCCTGCTGCCGCCGCGGCCGGGCCCCCCTTGTCCGCCGGCACCCCCGCCACCACCGCCACCACCACCTCCTCCTCCTCCGTACCTGTTGGGTAGCTCGTCTCCAAAGCGCGCCATTCTGCAGACACCAAACGCCAGAGGTTAGGAAGGAGCCAGGGGGAAACCTCAGAGTGACACCTCCACATGCCACCACCCCATCAGCCTCGGTTCCGAAGACACATGCAGAAAAGAGTTTGGGTTTGGATCTGTCTCTACTTCTCTGTCTCTCTCTCTGAGCGTGTCCTTCCACCTCTATCTAGATCCTTTTTTTTTCCTTCCCAAGTCTTCAGCACCAAGAAGATACCTCCATTTGTGAGGTGGGAGGGGGGATGTCAGAGGGGAGGGATGGGAGAAAAGAAGATAAGAGAATCGAGAATCTTGTATTTAAGGATTAAGAAGTCAAATCGCAGCAACGTGTTTATATTATTTGTGAACAGACAGTTTTCTGTTGGAAAATTGAGAAAAATCGAATATTTAGTGAAGGCAACACACAGGCTTCACTCTCTTGTGCTGTTCTTATTTAACCATTATGATAAAAAAAAAGACAGCTAAAAGACAGTCAGCTGCTTCTATTAAAACTGGCAAATCAATCGATCAGCTCAAATGCGATCGGAATGCATAGCTGTGCATTGAGATAAATATTGCATCCATCTCCACAGAGCAGGCCAGCTGGAGACTGCGTCTTTTTCCTGCATCTTGTCAGGATCTGCAGTTGTCTTCCCCCACCACCACCTCCTCTCCTCTTTTCTTTTTTTTTCCAAAGCCGGATAAAAATAGAAATAGATAAGAGTAAAATGTTTAATAATTCATTTCTTCTTGTTCTATATATCCGCAGGGTTTGATGCGCCCGCCGCTGCTTCCTTTAACTGTCGCCTCAGCTTTCTGTTTACACGCAAAACGTCAACCGAGGGGGGCTTCCCCAAAATCCGTGCCTGGTGACATTTGTTGATATTTGGTAATGGACGGTGCGGCATCCCCCCCCCTCCTCTCCTCTCCTCCTCTTTTAACCCCCCTCCTCTTCTACAAGGCGTCGGTCGCTGGTTTTTGGGCGTGTTTGCGCGTACTTGGAGGTGAAAACGCTCGCTTTCCCAGTGTACCAGTTTATGTCTTCCTCGCTCTCGTGCGTAAAAGAAAAAATAATGAAAAAAAAGGAGTGGATGAGATCAAAGAAAAAAAATTAAAAGAAAATGTCCACGATAATCATCTATAATCCAGTGTTGGGGGAACAAGAATCCCAGATAAACAGGATCCGGATGATGGAGGCAGCAGCTTCAGCACCATCATCAATTTTTGGTCGAAAAACAGGACGGTTGCGGTGCGGTTTTGCTGGAACAGCAGCTCTCATCTTCTCCTCCACCAACGGGCAGAAAACGTGCACCATCTCCACCCAGCAGCATCACCCCCCCACACCCTCCTCGATGATCCTGAAACCTGAAAGAGGCGACCAGCCAGGTCCGACGTCTCTTTAGCGTTCTCCTTTTGCGCGCTCTCCCTATCTTCTATCTCTTTAGGATCCCCCCCGCCCTCCTTTAACCCCTCAAGGGGAAGGTAGAACAACGCTGTCGATCCAGGGGGGTTGTTAGTAAAGGGACCCGAAAAAGTGGAGTTGCTCCTGCGTTTTTATTAACGCGTTCAACAGGGGTTGAGCCGTGCTCTGAGCATCTGATCAGTCTGAAGGGAACCGAGCGCCACGCGAATATCCGTGGCCAAGCCATGCAGCGCACGACGCACGGCACCTCCCCAACCCAAACACATTAGGTTACGCTGGCTTCACCTGTGTGGAAAGGTATGTTATCTGTCCCTTTAACAAAAAAAGAAAAAAAAGAATAAATACATAAATCATATAAACAACACAAAAATAAGTGTTTGGAATGCCAAAAGTTACATAAAATGTGATAAATGTCTGGTATAATTGATTAATTCCTAGTAGGTTGTTTTCTTTAGTTTCCTCTCTCTTGGTCATAGCAGACCTACCACAATATTTATTTCTATTTTTGCAGATTTTTTTTAAGTAGGTACCCTAAGTGTAGTGGATGTAGGGTGCAAAAACCAACAATAACAATTGATATTCATCTCAACTCGATTTCTTGTGTAAAGGCCTTAAGTCCACAGTTGTTAGGCATGATCCTCTCATAAGAGCTGAGCTGATTGTAACTGGTCAATCGTGTGCATTTTTACAACTAGTTTAGGGTCATATCTCACCCAGCTTTGTACACCTAGAGACTAACATTTTTGCCTGTTCTTATTTGCAAAGTAGCATAAGATCGGTCAAGTTTGATGATGAGCCTCTGTGAACATAAATGTTTATATCTTGCCCCAACTTTTTAATTAGATTTAAGACTTCTATTGGAAGTTGAACCTCCCCTAAAAGATAACACATCAGCTGGACTGTCAAAAGAGCTATGGATCTATGCAGCTCCAGAGTTTCTTGGTCCTCTCTGCTGATCTTCTGATTGATGCTCACCTTGCTTTGCTTCAAATTAATCATAGGGTCTTTGTAGGTTTGTAGTTGTTCCACACTCTTTCTAACTTGGGATACTGGATTGAAGCCCTATGAGATGCTCTTTGGAAAATTGTTTTATTCCCCAAGCCTTCTTCAAAATTTCACCACACATTTCTTTCATTAATGATTTTCAACAAACCTCTGATGCTTTCAGTGGCTTTTGTGACGAACAGACGCTCTATTCTTTAAAAAAAAAAAAAATCATGGATAGCAGTCCTTCATCCCATCTGCTTAATTTACAGTACACTTTAATGTAATCCAATTTCCATTGCCAAATCTAACAAATGTATATTCAAATGCTGTCTCTTAAAAATGTCTCAGTGTTAAAGATGGATTAAGGATTGTATTTAGCCAACTTGATTTTTATTTTTTTTCACAGTTAAGTACAAACAGGAAAAATCCTGCCAGCTAAGTTAGTAAAGCTAACTTTTTAATGCACATTGCCAAGAGGAAAGAAGACAGAGTTTGGAGTGTTGTCCTATTTTGTAGGCTTTTTTTTGTTTTTGCTTTTTTAGGAAAGTTCAAAAGAAAAGTATTATTTCTCCTTCCTCCAAGCTATTTTTGAAGGTTTGGCTCAAATTTAAAGCTGCTTTGAAGCGATCCCACAAGCTGTTAGACTAGGCTAAATAAGAATAAATAGTGATGAACAGGCACAAGAAGCTTCTCCCTGTCATCGTTTATTAGGAAGCCTGCTAAATTTGTATGACATCCGTAAAGTAAAAATGCAGATCACTAAAGGCTTGTAAAACTACCCAACCTGGTTGGAACTGCCCTTGGTGCTGAAATACTTTCTAAAAGGGTTTCCTTTTTTTTTGGTGCTGTCCAAAGTGCTGAACAAATAAAATGAGCATAAAGCACCGTATGTCACCTGCTTTTCTTTTGGAAACAGTTACCTGTATTGTGCCCAGGTGGGTTAGAACTGTACCTCCCACCATCTGTTACTTTTCAGAGCACTGCGTTCAAGCTGTACTAGCCATGTGTCTCCTGTCCCAGCAACTTTTGGCTGTTTATTACCCAGAGTTTGAAGCTCTGTTTCTATTCCAAAGGGTGGTGGATGGATTATGAAAGTGGTACATATGGTGGATATCTAGAAACCAACATCCGAACCAGAGTTTGAAAAAACTCTGCTAAAGAGGAATACCCAATTTATGTCAGGGCAGGTTATCTTTTTGAACAAATCTCAATGTATTCTCTAAATCTTTTTCAACAACAAAAACAAAAAACATACCAACTAAAGTGCTTGTGTAATTTCATTATTTTCTCTATTATGGTAAAGCAAATTTCATATAACACATGAGAGGAAAATCAGTTGCTTTTGCTGTATCTGAGATTTATATTCTAACTACAGTATATATTCTAACTACAGCAGGCAATTAAAAGGACCAGAATAAAAAAGCTAAGTTATTGTGCTGCTGTTAAATCTAAACACATGAAGTAAACTGATAGTAAAAATAGATAAAGAATAAAAAGATAATTCATTATCCACCAATAGGCAAATAAACAAGCTATAAAAAGTTGTGGATTCAAAATCATGTATTAATTTTGATCATCTCCACAGGCTGTAGCCTTTAAACATATCAGAACTTGAAGTTAAACAGAATATACAATTTATTACTCAGTTTTACACATCACCTGATTCACAGACTCATAGCTACTACCAGGCTATGATGAAATCTAGATCCTGCTTTCAGCAGTGAAAGTGAATGATAGTGGTGGGGAAATGGTGAGATGGGGATGTAGCCGGAGAACAAGATTTGTATGATCATTGAAAACACGACACAGCTGGATGACAAATGACAAGCTTATTGATGACAAGGGATAGACAGAGCGAGAGGTGGTGTCTGTCAGCAGTTTCCTTCCTTTTTCTACTCGTTATCCTACACTCTAGGGCGCCCTGCTACTGTTACTGCTGTTGCATTGCCACGCAGCTTTCCCAGCCTCTCTCAATGGGAGTGTGTGGGTGGGTGTGCATGCGCTGCTGAGGGAGTCTTGCTGAGGCCCTGATGTGCGGCATTGTCATTCAGGGAGCGTTCACACAGGCAACCCCATAGGAAGCCCTGGCACCTCCCCCTTGAAATAATGCCCCTTTCCTCCACCTCCTCCTCTTGTCATCCCCCCGCACCCTGTCTGTTCTCTGATCTCACTCAGCAGGCAAAAGCTACAGAGCTGAGGGAGACGTTAAAATGAGAGGGGACAAGAAGAACTAAAGATATGCAGCAAGATTATGGGTTAATAATCTTCTACTAGCTAGTTAGAATTCACTAGGAAATAATTAAAAATCTAATTTTGTTGGATTTCTGTCAGATATCAAGTGGTTAAACTCAGTTCATTTAAATATTAGTGTCTTGGCATTTTCTCTTTATAAGCCATGATACTCACTAAATAGTATTAAAATTTAAGAAGGATTATAGTTTCTTCTTAAAGGCTCAGTCTTTGTTGCACTGGAAATAAGTGATACGAGAGCAGGGATATGAATTTGTTAAATGTCTAAAACACATTCAACACATATCTGCAATTTCAGTTTCCCTCTGCATCTGTTCAACCTCTAACTAAACTTGAGAAAACAGCAATCTGGATAAAATTGTTAGCTTAATACAAAGATTTAGCATGATGATGTTAGTGTTATGGAAAAGTAGCCATACCCATTAAGCCTTTTATTTTTCAAATACTATTGACACAATGCTTTAATATATTGTTCGATAAATATATTTGAAACACTGGAATGTACACCATTCTGTTGTGGAGGGAATGGATAAATGGTCCAAAATATGCAAACTGTGTATACAAATAATCAGCAAATTCGGAGTTAAAAAATTGAGTCCATGCTTGGTAGAAAGACCTTCAACATCTGCTTCTGGGTAATTTATTGGCACTTAACATTGACAAAGATTTTTCCATTTCTCTTTGCAAAATATCAACGGCTCCGTCAACTTTGAAGGACTTGCCACAGATTCTGATCTGCCTTTAAGTCTGGCCTCTGACCAAGTCTAAGCATTGACCTAAACCATTTGGTGGCATCTCTGCTTTGATGTAAAGGGTTGCTGTCCTGTTGCCCTCAGTCCAGAGACTTTTACAGCCACTAAAATTTTTTTTTTCCAGGACTGCCTTTCATGTTGATCCATCCATCTTTGCATCAAGACAGACCAGTTTCCTGTTCCTTGCTAAGGAAAAATATTCTCAGAGCACAATTCTACCACTAGCTTTCACACTGTTAATGTGAATGTATTGTGTTAGTTTACAACAATCAAGCATTTTAATTTACTCAGATATTTATGTTTAGTTGTAACCAAACAGAACACCCCCTTTTCTTTGTTTCCTGCATTCCCTTCATCGGTCTAAAATGCCTTAGTATGTATTCTTTTTGCTTTCTGTCAACAATAGCTTCCTTCAGGCCAACCTTCGAGTCCACAAAAAATATTTATCAAGATCCAGCTGAGCAGTGGATTTCTGCTTGCTAACAAACCACCAAGCATTCGTGGACGAATATTGTTGCACAGATATTTTTAAGAGTTTCGGAATGATTTTAATAACCATAAATTGTTTTCCTTCAAATAAAGAATTATGCACTACTTTGTATTTTTCTGTTACATTTAGTGTTGCACCGATACCGATACCAGTATCGGACGGGGCCCCGATACTGCCCTAAAATGGTGGTAGACCCTAACTATTGTCACCCACTCCTGGTAGGCAATAAAAAGTTCTACTGGATTCACTTTGAATTAGATTTTTTTCCTGCTTCACAAAGGTAGGCAGCAGCTTGACAAAGACAAGGCAATTATTTTACATTATTATGGTATCTGTATCGGCTGATACTGCACAGCCAGGTATCGGTATCGGGGCCAAAAAATGGCATCAGCGGAACACTAGTTACATTTAATGCCAAAAAATACATATAATCTTAAATGGGACGAATTGGGAAAAAGTTAAACAGGTCTTTAGCAAGACACACACAAAAAAAAGACGGTAACAGACAAACCTGTGTCACTCCTTGATGTTCTCCAGACCTGGCTTTGGCATTTCCACTTGTGTATATTTTGGGTGCTGCTACCAGAATCGTATAGAATTGAAAACTGAAATTGCAAAGCACTCTTCTATCCAGATTTTGTGTCCTCTGGGATTTACGCCTCTTGCCGTAAAACCCAGA